ACATAAACACACACCAGATACATCCGATTTCACGTGTGTCGGTGCAAATCGATACATTCCCCATCGCCCGCCATTTTCCCTTCCCCATAGAAAAAAAAAATGTTAAACAAGAGAAAAAGCGAGAAAAAAAAAGCAAACTAAATGACATGCATTAGCGAAAATAAAGAATGCTCCTCTCACGTTTAATTATCAAATAAAAAATGCATATTTCATCAAGATGATTATGCGTGATTGCAGTCTATTTCTCAATGCAACACGCAAGCATGTCGTAACTCGGGGACAATCATTTTTTCTCCACCGTGGCGTTAAAAAAAAATCTCGAGAAAAGCTCGACCGGCCATTTTAACTCAGTGAAAAGCTGCGTGAGTGGTGGCAATGCTGTTGTAAAAATGAGGGTAAACCACGCAAAAGTTCTTCCAAGCACATGTGCATATTCAACATTCCAGACCCATTACAGATATACGTACCACCCACTTGATTATCTCGAGAATGTCGACGCGCACCATCTGATCGGATCGCTGCTCTGATAATCGGCTTGTTGGCACCTGTGAGGCAGGCATAATTAATGCTCAGGTCTAGGTGAGGCTCAATCGCCAACCTCCAGCCTCGGGTCTACCATTTTTAGCCCCCACCACTGGTCATGATTCTATCTATCGCATGCGATCACCAATTAGCCATTCGCTGGGGTATTACGTGTAATGGATTGGATTAGTCAGTTTATCGTGAAAATGGGAAATATTCCGTTGATCGTGCATCATTTCTCTTCTCTGTGGAAATTTTGAGGAAATTTACATACTGAAGTAATTTTCTGTCAAAATTAATGAAGAAATTGAGAGAAATTGAGAGAAATTGACAGTCAATCTCGAACCATCAGCAGTATTACTGGTTTATTAGCGAGAATAACTATACTCTATTTTAATCATGTTTTTAAGGATCTTCACCAAGTTATTTAGAGATATTTGCACGTTAATATAAGAGAGGTATATAAAAACACTGGCGGGACGGGTCTTCTTCATTTCTGACGGATTTTTCATGCATTTCAACTCAAAAGGACGCCGGCTATTTTCTTTTAAGTAGTAATATAATCATTTTCGGGTGGGAGGGTCTTTCTTAATATTTGCCGTGACCTTCTTCAACGGACTAATGTATGATAGAATGAGTTTCTTCATGTTACAAGAAAAATTATTAAAACTAGAAGAACAGTTATCATTCTTTTGCACTGCAAATGAATTTGAATGAATTCAAGTCGACAAAATTGGTTTGCCGTATGGAAGAGAAATTCTTTCATCGAAAACGTGTTTTATTTTAATTTAACATCGTGGAACTTCTGGGTGCGCTGCGAGAAAATTATTGCCGCTGATTAAATATATTAGTACCAAACAAATTGGTTCGGGTAAGAATTTAAATGGGAATTTTATGGAGATATTTTAGGTATTTAGTTGTGCCGAGGATATTTACTTGGCGGATTTTTTTTTCTTTTCGTTTCGCAGTCTCAGCTACTGGAATATTGCTGCACCGAGATGCAATGTAATAAGTAATTACGATAAACTATTTTACAAAGGCAATAAATAATTTTATTATATCTAAATTGCAATAACAATTTGAAAAATCATTCTTCTAGTCGATATATTTCTTAATTATACCAACTTTTATTACTAAATGACAATAGATCCTAGAATTCCTGCAAACAAATTTCTCTCGTATACATTCCAGTTGATCTCAAAATAAATTAAGGAAATAAATAACCCCGCCGATTCGACTTACCCGAATTCAATGAAAACTCAATCAAATGACAGTCTCACCTAAAACATAATAATAGTATCGAAGAGTATCGAAGTATCTGAAGTATTCGATATGAAGGAAAAGAGCGCAGAATTCCGGCGGAAATGGGCGGTTCGAGTGGCGGTCCCACGAGCAAGAAATCACTCTTTTTACCCCATCTACCCCCACCAACCCCCCAATTTCCCCTTCTTCCCTTATTTCTTTCAAGCCATACCACGAAGTTATGTCTACACACACGTGGAGATGTCTTTCCGTCTCTTGTCTGACGCTCCCCTTCCAAAAGGGTAATTAACGATTTAACAGACACGCTGGATGAGCATCGGGCTTCGAGGTGCAGCACACATCAGTTAACCAAGTTGTTATTAGGCTTGACGCGAATGCCGCCGAGAATCACTGCGTAAAAAAAGATCTTTTTACGTGGCGAAATGAATGAGATCCCCTCATCCCATCTCTCTCCCCCTTTCTTCATTTTTCAACGAACAACAAACATTTAATTCATCTCATATGTCCATTGGAGAAAAATATTTTTCGATACGTGTGCGAAAATTAATGCGCATCAATTCCTACAAAATGATTTCTCATTCACATTGAAAACAATTCCAATTCCTCTATGATTTTCTCTGTAGCCCCACAAAAATGTAAAACGCTATAAAAATTCCTGTCTTTAATGAATTTCGGGGATTTTCACTTTAATGATGTGAATTTTTCCTTTCAGTCATAAATCTTTTTTCTCTACGCAGAGTCGCATACGGGAAGAAAAAGTCCAATAAAAATCACGTGAAAGTTTGGTAATGCGCAAATTGAAGGAAAGGTCGAGTAAAAAATTCGGAGCAGTTACGGACTTTTTACCGAACCTTCCGTACGTTCCACTTTCCGTAGAAATTGACAGAAAGTGATTTTAACTTACACTACTAGGAATTTGCTATAACACGATTATCAAAAATCGTTAAAGTGTTAAATTGGTTGAATCAATGGCTTCGAAATTGAGAAAAATAATAATGTGACTTTTCATTAGTTTTATTTGCAACACCGAGTGAAAAGGTGGTCTTTTTTCCACTTGGACTGTAAATAATATTTTTCCTCAGATTGGACATATATGAGCGACGTGAAGTCACAGATTGCATGAAGCCACCGGGCAAATACTCTAATCTGTTATCCTCAACTTATTAATCCACCGAATCCCCGACATCTTCCTTATAGAAGTGAAATGCACTGACGGAGCCGTTAATGCTTTGTGTATTCAAATAAAGGCGAGAGTTGATGCACATTGGCACGCAAGCGCGCGAGACCAAGCGCCACATAGCCAACTGGAGGTGGAGAAGCCCCTAATGGCTTTATAATGCCTTCATTTCGCATTAAAACGGCCGCTACTTAATTCCCACGTATCCCACCAACGTGTTTTTCTGCCATCGTCAATCTCCCGAAAAACGACTAAAACATAAAGTGAATGTGGAAAAAAATTTCACGTGGAAAATAAGAGGATGGAATTAATGAAGGGAGAGATGAAAAAAAAAGATGACCTGAGGATGAGGGCAGTTTCATGGGCCCGGGGCCAAGGTCTATACGTCTTCGATATTTACGTCGACACCGGGCTAATTCAACGTCCAGTAATGGCCCTCCCCCAACCTCTTCACTCGTATCTTAACTTACACCGTACACAAAACTGCAATCCCAGTTTCAACGTAGCTGTAATTTTCAACTTGAGGATTTTCACGCGCTCCAACATCCTATGATTTACGTGGATGAGGAATATAGCATGTTTGCGGACGACTTACCCGCACATATCTGCAAGTAACACATGCTGGCGGAAGTGTACACCGTAATGGCCGACGAGGTAATCGTGATTTTTTTTTTCTCCTCTCAACAAACGAAAGGACAATTAAGTTACCGCTGAGGCCATTATGAAATGAATTTATAAAGTAGTGGCGGTTGCAGAGTCGTAAACCGCGGTGATTTTTCAGAGGACGAAAGTGATTTTCAGTGGATTTATCCGGTCTGCGTCAGGTACAATTACCATAATGAATCACTGGTGAGGTTGGTGATTCGCTGGATTGCGGATGGAAGCCGAGTTTTACTGACCGACCAGTGCACTCAGCGATTCTTCGAATTATCAATGTTGCAGGGAATTTTGGTGCTGAAAGTTAAGAGGAATAGGTTTAGGGTAATGAGACGTTTCGCTCCGGACTCGGCTGGAGGAACTGTTATGCCTGACAGGATTGCAACACTTGCCGTCGAATCGTTTCCAGACGGACACGAAGGGTGCACTTATTTAGGATAGTCCAGTGGGAAATTAACAATTACGAAATGGAAGCTACGGACGGCACCAGAAATCCGTCCAAGAACAAAGGGGTTTTGCAACTGCCTCGTTGCGCCGTTCTTCGTGGTTCAGGGATTCCCTCTCCTCTTTTTCTATCTGAATCTGACGTTAAATATTCTAGTGTTAAAAAATTACACTTGAAATTTATTAAACGCTTCGATTTAAATTCTATTCAAACCGAAGGGCTATTCATTGTCAAATATCGTGACGCAATGATTGCTGAGTCGAAGTGATTTCATATGAAATCACATGATCGATGGACTGATTTCACGTCATTTTTCAGGATTTCATATGATTTAAGAACTGATTCCATGTGATTTCAATGTAAGGTGACACAGTGATTTGACCAATGAATAATCCCACTCATAACACTCATTGCGATTGAAATTCCAAGGAATGTTCAACAGTGTAATTGTCATGAATCACGACGCCGACAAGTTGTCTCCGTTGCCCAAGACTTGATCTCCCCCCTTATTCCTTTCCTATTCACCCCAGAATCGGTAATTCGTTTATCCTGCAAATAGGAGTGCACATTCGTGGATCGCGTGATGCATCGAAGGTATCACGAAGGCAAGACGAGGAGGAGGGACAGAGGCAGCTCCGTTAACGTGAATATCCTGTAACCGATGTACGGCCAAATTGTTCCGCCAACATTTACCCAACGGTTGTGCTACACCTTAAAAATATATCTCAGTGCAAACGAAAGGAATCACTCTCCATCACAAATTACGAAAGCTATTTCAGACTTATCCGGTGGAATAAATCGATGGAAACAAAGCAGAGTGAAAAAACAATTGCAAAGTCGGGTAAACACGAACGAAAAATTTTTCAAAACCAGGGACAAGACGTTATCTCTTTGTTTACCTTTTACTTCCTTTACGTCATTCTTTATTTCCTGGGGTTTATTTACAAGGGGAACAGCTTGCCCAGTCATTGAATGGATACAATGCATTTTCCTCAAAACACAAGCATCTTTATCATTCTCATTTTCATTTTAACAATATGTATAATAACGTTTTTACTCTAGCACTATTCCTCTTCATAGTTGTAATAATCAGTTTCATTCTTAATGACAAAAATTTACCGAGTACGCTTGGAGTTAAAACACCATTCAACTAAACAATCGTCCCATCACTCTCGGTTACATCCCTGAATTGATAATTTAACAAATCTGCAGCAGTCGCGAAATAAAAAGAACATAAATAACGAATAACAATAGTTCGATATGGTCGTTAATAATTAAAGAAATGTACAGCTTATGATACATGGAGATGCGAGAGTACTCAGTATTCAATTCTGACGTCTCGGGCACTCCGTGAAATTCCTCAGAGGAATGTACGGTAAAAAATACTCAATTGTCGACGACTACGACGGCGACAGGTCCTGGGCTTCACGGTAGAGGCTGTCGGTGGGCGATGGTGTGGCGCGTCTCGATGATGATGGGGGCGATGGTACGGCTGGTACAACTGGTTTTCTTCCAGCCATTGTTGGATAAGGGGAGAATCTGTGATGTGATAGAGCTAGAGCAGATGGATAGATCGGTCGTGGTGCTGCTGGTCCTGGTGGACTCTGCTGAGAGCTAGAGGCAGCCAGTTGCTGCTGGTGATGGGCTGCTGCAAAGAGGGTTGGCCCCAGGGATGATGCCCACCACAGATGGCCCAATTGTTGTTGCTGCTGCTGCTGTTGCGCTTGTTGCTGCTGATGCTGCTGGTGACTCGTACCTGCTGAAGGCCCTCCTGGATACACCAGGGCAGGACTGACTAACTGGGCGTAAGGGCCGACTGCTGCTGCTGCTGCTGCACGCAACAGAATTTGAGATCTCGCTGCCCACAGGGCCTTCTCTTCTAGGCTCAGATTGCTCGCTGCACCCTGCAGCTGATCCATCTCGAAGGGAAATCGGTGAGGAAACCTCATCGACTGCTGCTCCGCCAACATCGACTCCATTGTCTCCCTGAAAGGATAACTGCTCGATTATGCTTTGAGTAGCTTTGAACTTTCAACAAATGATAGAGTTCTCTAAACCCTGACATTCAATTCAGTAGCCAAGGTGTACAAAATAACAAGAACCTACGAGAGAAACCGATATTTTTCTCACCGCTTGTTTTTAACGGACTGCTATCGATATATGCTGCGAAAAATTTATCTACAAATATTTAGCGTTTACTACCCTTTGCTCATCGAGGCATCATCGCGAATACTCGATGAGTGGTGCTATTCAACTGAAATACTCCATGGATTAGAGATATTAATGATAGGTTGTCAATGAGTCGTTCTAATCGAAAATAGAATTATCGAAACTAATTGATACGTGGACAAGGTATTATTAATAATATTCATGTTCTATAGAACAGCAATTACGACTCGCTCAAAATTTTGTCAAATTAATTTTTCGTCAAATTTTTTAATAGATCTCTAATGTGCACTGATGCAATAACGTCGTTCGAGAGGTGTTGAGATGAAGGGGTATTTTATTTACGGGAACTCGTGAGTGATATTTACTTCATGAATTATATTTTCAAATGAATATCAAATATATGATATATTAAATCTATGACATTTGAATCGGATGCAGCAAGAACAAATGATATTCATGTATTTTTCAACGACTGTGTCATCCTTATATCAAAACCACTGGAAATCGTTTAACAATTAGCGGTGGCTAATGAATCTTTGAGGCAGTACTGTTCTCTGACAGGTTATAAATCTATCACTTGGGATAAATGATGAGATGGTTTTCGTAATACTCGACTCCCAGTCACTACTCACCGGAATAAAACAGTGATTAATTTCATTATAATCTGAATAATTATATGCTATCGCCGATCTTTGACATCTGTTTCTATTAAATCTCGCGTTGGTACATCATTGTTGCAGGAAATGCAGATTCACATTAATAGATTCGGTATACACTTCATGAGATATTTTCATTAAATTTCACCTCATGAGCGATCAAAATCGATTGCGAAATCGATTGGCGATTTCATGAAAATAAAATAAGCTCTTTGCAAATTTCAATCAATAACGTACCCGTTCAATTAACGCTTTCATGTCTCTTTGTACCGATGGAATAAATATGATTTTGCACAAGGGAGTGTCCAACTGACAAAACCAAAACTCACCTTTCAAAATCCGTGAGCCTTGAGGAGTCCCTGAAGCCCTTGGCAAAGGGATTACTGTCGATCTTGAGTTTCGTTATCTGCAAGAAGAGATAAACCAATTGATTGACATTCTCGAAATACAAAGTGCCGTGACGAGATAAAAATGAATAAATAGAGAATCGTAAAAAAGTAAAGTAACGGAAGAGAGGAGGGGTGATAAAATTGGAACGACGATTGCATCCAATGTTTTATTACCCGTGGAATTTCTCTCTTGTGAATCTCAGCGAGTGTGGGGAAGCTTGAAAATTTCATCTCACTCTAACCTTTACCATGCGATCCTTGTTATCGTCGGGTAGCGCGTCGAATGGCAATTCGCCCCGGGATTGCGTCGCGACAGCGTCAACGATCCGTATCGCTCCCAAACGACGACCGACGCCTGCTCCCACCGTAGGCCTATTCTCCTATGTTATTTCGACAAATATGGACCGAAACATCACTAACTCATTCCCCTAATGCTTCAATAATTTATGACACTTTAAAACTCCTCAAATCTCGAAAATACATTCTAGGAATTCAAATCACTCTCCACTTTTATTTGCTTAATTAGTCATCTTCCTTGATGAAGCCGACATCACCGAGGAATCGGACAACTGGGGGGTCCATCATTCACGACCTAGACCAGCATTTCGCTGATTCTCTTTATCCAATTGCTACTTTGAAATCGATCGAGAGTCAACGGCTCGTAAAATTAGAGAGGGACGTGGGCGAGAAAATTCGCGGGGATACTGTCACTGTGATAAAAGAGGCTTCGTAGGGTGAAGAATCATGATTGTATAATGATCCTTTCAATTACTCACTGAATGAAATAGAACAAATCCCCTTGTACTGGTTATAAAATCGAGAAGGGTGATATGTTAATTCGCGTCGACTTTAAATTCAATTGAAAATTTTCGATTATTTTTTCCAGTACGAGTCATTCTTTTTGATATAATATTTTTTTTTAATTACCTATTCAAACTTGCGAGTATAGAATACTGAGGAAAAGGTAAACTACAATAGATGCATTTTTTGCGAGGCCCGGGAATATTCAGGTTTGAATTGAAAAATCGATCATTTAACATGAAAACCCCAATTCTCTCAAATTGTTGTGTTCGAGAAATTGAGTGATCGTTTTGAATTAAAATTGAATTCAAACTCGTATAATTGAAAATTCAATGACTTCAAGTCTTAAATTTCGAAAGATTATTAACAGTATAGGTTACCACTTCTCTGCACAATGAGTGATTGCGGAAAATGGGAAAATGAAAGGAAAAATAAGACGTGTTAATTTATCATAGACAAGTGAATAATCTCCTGACGGATTTGAGATGAATTCTTAACAAAGTGGCCGATGTGGATGAAGTTACACATGATCTGAGGAAGCCGAGACCTTGCTGCAGGCTCATATATGCTGCGATGTCACGCTGGTGTCGAGTTATACAGGTTCGTTCAATATCCCAGGGGCACGAGGGGAGACACATGGACATGTACATGAAGAGTCAGAGGGAAAGGAGGCGAGCTAAGCAGCCATATGTAAGTGCATGTGTGTGGGTGTTCGGAAAGCCACCCTAAGTCCCTTTTTCTACACACGAACCCAGAGCGCCTCCCGGGGCCACCCACTGTGAGAACTCCAGAGACAACTATACAGCGGATGTACAGGTGGCCTTGGCCAGTGCAACTCTTTGCGCCTTCGGCGTAAACAAGTGGATGAGAAATTGTTAATCTACTTAGGCAACCTTGTACCGCCTCGGGGGATTAATGATGGTGTTGAAAATTACCGGGCGCTTTTGGATTTCATGTGCCTCCCGATCGAGTCAGGGACATCCTATTTGCAGAAAAATTTATTCCGTATTTCATGTCGAAAGTTCAAAGTCATGAGATTTCATTGAATGGTCAAAATGGATATGAAATTTCAACTTTTCGGTGAAATTCCCAGAAATTCATGAATTTTGTTGATTTTTGGAGCATTTAATGCTTTTTTAATTATTATTATTTCGTGATATTTGCGGATGTTGGAGTTTAGTTATTGAATGAGTTCTGTAATTTGTATTTAATATTTTTATCAGTGTGATGGTTTGGAGGGTAATAATAGATTTAAGAGAGCACTCATTGAAGTTTTCGGCGGCCCAGTACCGCCGAATTGTGAACATCGCGGTGATCGATATGTTGAAAGAGGGATTCAGGAGCTCGGAGGTTGAGACGTCTCTTCTCTATCACGTCGTGAAATTTTGGCGATGAGGAAGAGCTCGTGAAATATCGGCTTTCTCGCTGCCGACGGATTTGCCTGGAATTCAGTGCCGATTGAGGGGTGACTGTTGTTCTAGTCTGCGCTTTTTGCAGTCCGCAGGTAATATACCTATATATATTGGTAACATTAAATTCGCACTACACTGAATTCCAATATTAACAATTTCCCAATTTCAGTTCAATTATTCAATAAAAAATAACGAAAAAATTTTATTAAAGAATCGATTACTATTGAACATGAAAACCCTGATTTCCGAAATTTTATGATAAACGGTAAATTTAGTGAGCATCTCAAATTGAAATTGAATTCAAACTCATATAATTAAATATTCAGATAACAATGTTGACACAATGACTGAAATTGAGAAAAAAATTGACCGGTGTATTTGTCAAAAGGAATGACTCTCAGACACCCGAACCTCTGAAGCCGTTATCCCCTAGTTACATGAGCTATTCAATAATGAGATTCGATAAGCATGCAATTAGGTAACAGCTGGGCGGGGACAAAGACGGACAGGTCTATTCAGGGACATCACAACAGTCACTAAAACATTGAGATGTTATAGATAGTGTTGTAAAATAGCGGTTAGATGGTGAGCGGGAAGTGGGCCAAGCGCTCGGTTGGTGGTAGTGTCAACGGAGCCGTAAACTCTGATGATCATCTCTCCGTGTTTTCCTCGACTCTGGGATTTTCTTTGACGTTGTCTCATGTTGGCCGACATAAATCGCCGTATGCCGGTAGAAAAATACCTTTTACTTTCATTGGTTTCATCAAAGAGCGGGAGACATAGACCAAAGTGCCAGCAGCAATATCCTAAAACTCGTTGCGCTTCATCGTTATCCACCGAGCGGATGATCGTAAAGTCTTCAGACAGTGGCATTTTCAGGGTGGGCATATGTGAATATCAGGGGATAGACACACACGTAGTACACCAGGGAAGTGGGCCAGATGTTTGGCTAATGATGTCAGCGGAATCGTAACTAAAACCCAAGGGCTAAGGCTTTCCTCTTCTACTCATATCTCTTTCTCATGCATCTTTGGGGGTTTGAGGGGGGGACTCTTATTACTGAGACGCGTTGCACGTGCTAGTACGACCGCTAGTCGCGAAAACTCACAGGGTAATTGGACCACCCGCACTTCACGCGTCTTATTTCCCTCACTATGGAACGTCGTCAGACCCCGTCAACCTTTTTTTTCCTCCTTCTTCCTCGGTTTTTCCTTTTTTTTTCCCGTTTGGCCTCTTCCGACTGAGGTTCGTAAAGTGAACAGACTCGTTGGCTCGTTTTACTGTTCAAACAGAAATCGGGGTGGAGAAATAGGTCTTCGGCGCGTGGTAGGTCCTTATGAGGGTAACTTCATCTTCAAGTGGCTGTCAAATTGACGGACTGCTGATGAACTGCCTCTTCTGTCCGGAAACACTGAATTTTGGGGGAATCCAGTATTTATACACTTCGGTGGCGGTTTTTCAGGATCGAATGGCAATTAGGTAATGGGGATTATCTCCCCTCCTGCATTGGGGATTTAAGGATTTTTTTCGCCTACGTTTAATTTTTGTCTTTGTTCTACGATAAATTTCAGGCAATTTACCACCGAAGAGTCTATTATCCATTGTTAATAATTATAATTATTGAATAAAAAAATCTTTATAAAGTAGGAATGGCTTTTTTTGGATGTTTTATTTTGGGAAATGAGCTGCAAGGGTGTAATATCGATTGTCTGTCGAATTAGTTTTGTTTACGACATACGGTGAGTGGTGAAGCGCAAAAGTTAAACACTCGTATGACTATGAGGGAAGGTAGCCTCATCCTGTGTGGCTCTGAGAGCCTGCCTTTCTCCTTGTCTCATTTGAACCCGATTATTTATGTTTTCTCTCGTGTTGCGAATGCCGACGCCTCGAGCCCACTAAAAACCCTTCCTCAATGTACGCGTGTGTGCCGCAACAATGTAAGATAATATACCAGAGGAACCCTTTGACTCCTGCCTCGAGGGTGAACACGTAATGGTGGGCCGCGACCTGGAAAACTGTCTTTCCCTCCAGGTATACAGATTAAAGAGCCGTTTCGGTCTGGCATTGGGCCAACAGTTGAGGAGACTCCTGACAAATACATGGATGTGTTAAGATTGAAATAAATGGACGTGACGGCCGGATGCTTGATTGAATTAATTAATTAGCACGAGTTGTTTGGAGAGATATAAAAATAATTCACGAGCAATCGAAAATAGAACTGAAAATCTAAGCCTTTACACATTGCCAGAAATTCTTACAAACAATTTTGCAACGTGCAATTTTATCAGGTAAAACCGGAATTTTTCACATGCCTTTTTTAAAAATCGAAATGCTTATCCAAAATAGCTTAGCTTATAAAAATAATTTTTCGTTAATAATTACCATACATATATATGTTTGAAAAATTAAATTTTATTAGATAAATTTAATGTCTTAGTTATGCGCTAGTCATTGCAAAATGAAAAAGCATACACAAAGGGTACATTGAAAATATTGTTATAAATTTGAATTATCGAATTTTCGACATGTGTCCCGAAATGGTAATAATTGAAAATTGAGACGACTTTGTGATTGAAATATGAAGAAATTTTTGGCAGTATGCGCTTGTTGCTCTCGTGGGTCTCCTAAACCGGTTGCCCATTGATTCATTGTCTATTCGCTTACCTCCTAATGGATTAATTCGGATGTGCATGAGCGCAATGGAGTGAATCTATTTTCGATGGCAATTGGAGATTAACGAGCGCGTCGCACAGTGGCCCCCGAAGAGAATGAGAAATACCGGAGTCGATTTACCATAACGAATCTGTGTGTATGTGAGACTGAGTGCTGGGATAATGGGTTAGTGAGGAGGAATGGTACGAAGAAAAGAAGCGAAAAGGACCGACGACACATCGTGGAAGCGATAAGAAGAGACACACCACGGGGAGAATGCGAGAAATAAAAAAAAAAAATAAAAATGAGGTGGGGGGAAAAAAAAGGCATTTGAGAATGGTGGAGAACATAGCGGGGAAGCGAGAGCAGTTAAGTTATGAATTATGACGTGGCGCGAGCGAGAAAGACGAATCGAGATGGTCGCGAGGTCGTTATGACTGGGGTGTTTGGGGGATATACACACGTGAATGTGTGTGAAATAGCTATGGAAGCTTTAGGAAGGAAGCAAAAACTCACTGCAGCGATACGTCCTCTTTCTTTTATACTTTTCGACTTTCGTTTCTGTTTTCCTTCATCTCTCCTCTCCTCCTCGTCGCACCGCTCATTTTTAAGCCTTACGGGAAGTGGCAACAAAAAATCCTGTTAAACGACCGGCCACTTCGTGAACCCGAAAGACGAAATGCCGACGTGCAAACTGCTATTCGTAATGGTTTAAATCCCTCATCAGTGGTTGAAGTTGAGTTAAAAGGCGGGGCGATATATGCCAGCAGCTTGAGAATTCTTCAGGATTTTATATGTTCGATCGGTTATTCAATAAAAATTATGTTTATGAAAGGTTTACGATTTTAGGCACTGGCTCGATTATCCGATAATCATTTCAGGGAAATGATTCTTCATTGGAGAATCAATTTTCCCTGGAAGAAAATGAAAGAAAAAATGAAAGAAAAACGATAATGAAAGTTCCGAATGGCCTATTTCTGTAAATCTACGAATTGGACAGCGGGCAAATGACATGTGGTTGAACGTCGACAATCTTAGCGCGTTTAGTTGATAGAAACACAGCCCCGAAGATTCACTGAAGCTGCATCGAGTGAGAGATAATGACGAGAGAGACAGTACGAAGAACCGAGAACAGGAAAGAGAGACAGTATAACCCGCAGAAAATGTGTGCGTGGGTAATTGCCGGGGCATCTCTTCGCACCTCATCATCATCATCAACAGCTAAGACCGTTGTCGTCGTGAAGAGGCGCGTTGCCGTTGAGAAGACACAAGTCAGAGAGGAAGTGTATATATTCTCCACCGGACCACCCGTTTCGCTTCTTGCTCACTCGATTTTCACCTTTCTCTAGATATTTTTTTCCCTTCCTCATCCATCCCCCGATGAAAGACAGCCCGAGCCCCGTGGACCACTATTTTTCATCCGATTCCCCGAAAGAAAAATTGAAAGAATAAAAAAAAAACGAGATGTCATTAACTCCGTTACAATTTTATCAACAACTGTTTTTTACGTTGTGCATTCGTCATGAGTCGGTTAAATTCCCGAGATTCTTCGAGTAAGTTAATGCGTTACAAGAGTGTCATGATGAAGTTGAATTGCTGACGTTATAAGGGCGTCGAGACGCACCCGGAGAATTTTGACGTCGACGGGGCCTGCGGGGACCACACAAGATGCTAACGTTTCTAAACGACCATAGTGAAATATGGTAATACAGGGGACCCTGCTGTCTGACACGATCGTTTCGGGAAAAAAGAGCAATTGCCATGTCCGGGAGGGGATGTCAAAAGAATCGCTCAGTGGTATTTGCTCGTGTTGGGGTTTGACGGAAATGCCACCGCACAAACAAAGGACAATATTGACAATGCCGGATAACATCAGGAGAGCCTTTCCACTCTAATTCCATCTCTCCATTGGATATTCCATAAATTGTCCCAATAAATTAAGACACATGTCAAACAATATTACATATTAGAAGCATGAAAAAATGTCTTGAAATTTTAAACGTTTATTTTTCTCAGTAATAGATAATTCTAATAACGTGTTGGTCCCTTAACACCTGCTAAAGCATTTTAAAAGGTAAAAATAAAAACCGAGGGGTTTCAATCCAAGGCGACACAATGATCTCACCGATGAATAACCCCTTGAGAAACTCCGATTAACTCCCAAAAATGATCGATTCCCACAATAAAAAAACTGGGTATCAACCCCTGACCGGTGAGACTAATCGCCCCTACATTATGGAATCATCGAGAAGCTCAAAGAATTCAATTTGGCCATCAGTCATATCGGCTATGCATACGATCCCTAATAAAAATCCACCGGTTGCATTATAACTCTTTCGTCAACGTCTGAAGACGTGCGTTGCTCACATACTCTGTCTCATCCCTTCTTTCTTGCTCTTGAGTTTGGACTCTTGACCGAGGCGAATTAATTCCCTCGTTTCATCCTCATGCGAAGGTTGTTGAAAAAAAGAATGATGAGAAGGATTGGCAGAGTTGCCAGTCCCTGCCTCTTTGAAGATTGAAAATAAAAGATGCAGGGACGAGTCTGGATGATGGGTTTGAAGAATGAAAATAAATAAATAAATAAAATGGTGGATAAAAGAAAAACGTATTAACGGTAGCTGGTGGGTTATAAGAGGAAGAAATCAAGTGGGAGTAAATAAAACTTACAAGCTGATTCTGATAGGCGGTGACGGCGGTGAAAATGGCCTCCGGGAATACGAAGGTCTTGTGAGGCTCACGCTCAAGATCCTCGATCGGGTCCTTGGCGCCTGAGTCCGGTCTTTTAACCAGATGTATGCGTGGTTGGTACTTGTGCATTGAGTTCAGTACCAGCTGTAAAATATCAGAATATATCATTCAATTTTATGGATCCACTGGCTGCCATTAACGGCTGAGATAAATTAATGGAAATAACATTGGACAAAGGGGCACCCTAGAATGTGAAACGTTTTCAGTCAAACAAAACGTTTCGTTTTCAGTATTCTCCCCCTTGTAGCTACACGTTTTTCAAAACCATCGAGATACCAAATAAACATACTAATATTTGCACACACCGGGAATGTACGTCATTGATCATTTATTTATTTTTCAGGGAAATTTTATTGGATTTTCGGGGGTTACTCCAACCACCGGAGCCGCTGAGTGAATTATTGTGAGAATTTTTTAGTTGCGACGAGACTCCATGCTGTATTTTCCGAAAAATTCACCGGAACATTCTATTCGGGGGGCCATTTCGCGCTGAATGATTTATCATCTTGTGTTTATCAGGTGATTTTGCTAATTTATGTCACTCGAAAAGACTTTAGAAGCTATTGTGCTACGGGATTGACGGATAATGAAGCAGATCAAATTTTTTAATTGTCTCCGAAACGTTGAGGGAACAGGATTGGCAATAGCATTAGCAATTACACAGAGAGAAATATTCAATAAAAATTACGTGTATTTTCCGTAATTCTGGAGCGAAATGTGGCTGTCGGAAATTTTACGGAACTGTCACGTCATTTTTATCTAAAGTCGCGGAATTTTTCTGCGGTGTTCCGTAATTTTTATCGGAATTATTAGTGAAAAATTACGATACCGTCACTTAAATTTTTCGAATCGACTCCATAATCGGTAAGTGACCTGAAAGTTCCGTAATTTTTACTAAATATTTCTCTCCGTGTACTGGCGACAAGACAAAATCGGCAAAATGATAAAATTTATAATTGAGAATATTGAATGAATGGTTGTAAATTCAGGTGACAGCAAACAATGTTGAGTGATGATTTTCCTATGACACAATTCGATAAGCTACCATCACAAAAATAATCTCAAAAGTTGTTTTACATCAGGTTTAAATGATATTGAGAGAGACTAACATTAAAATAATGCTGACAACAGTTGAAGAACAGAAGCAATAATCGAGAGCACAAAGTTTCTAATTAAGAATCTTGTTCTCGATCGCCAAGCCAGCAATTATTTTGTTGTCTTACAGATACCAATCGATTGAGAAATCTCACATTCGAATAAATCGATCCAATTTCAAACCGCAGCAGACGCGATTAGGCGTGCTGTCAAGAACGGTAACAGGAGCCACAATCTCCCCGAAAAAATGAACAATTTATGAAAATCATTACAGGTACAAGGAGGATTCTACCCGCAATAAGGTTTGATGTAGTGCATGCGTTTATGTAATCCGTAAGACCGATTTAAATGGACTAGAGTGAAATACAAGTGCGACAAAACGGTTTGAAGTAACCCAGGTCATAGACCCGTTGAAAATCGATTGCTCGTCTGGTGATCAGATGGTAACAATCGGTCTGCTCTGTACCATGAATATTCCAACTTTTAACACCCAGGACATGGAGAAGATTCATGGAATATTCCTGGCGAGTCTATAATTACCACGAGATATTAAATATCCGGTAGTAATCAATGCAGACCAGTCTGTTGAGACGTCTGAGGACGTGTCTAGAGGCTGATGGTGATTAAATCTATAGATTTCCCGCCAGAGATAATTCCAACGGGCGTGACTGGATGAGGCATATGACACGATTCTTTTAATTTGACGTGTCTTTTTTCAATATTCGGTGAAGAGTGAAGGCATTACGAGGAAAATGATAATGTCCACTCACGTGTCCGTGTCGATCCATCTCGTTGTTCGTCAGCTTCACCTTCTCGAAGGAGACGATTTGCTTCCGCAGCTGCTCCCCTGTGAACGGCGAGTCTGGGTGAACGTAGAGTCTTGCTGGAGCTGGTGGATCAGCCTTGCCAGCAACCAGCCACGAACTCCTGTGGTAGGCGTAGCGGTAGCGTTTTTTATCCACCGGGACAATGTCCATCAGGACGGCGTATCGACCATCAGGTCTCAGTCCGTTAAATGATACCCGGCAGGTTGGAAACATTCTCCTGCACAGAGAGACAAAAATTTATTTCGTTAAAAATAAAGTGCCATTCAACAAACGAAGAGACTATTTTAATCATTTCTTTCGAGAACAGAAGTTTTACTTGAATTATCAAGTGTAATCTTCCAATAGTATAAGACAATACTGGACAAAATGGCGGCAATGGATTATTAAATTTTATTGAAGGTACAGTATGAAGAATAAATCTCGAAGAAATGTAACAGAAATTCGAAACAATTTACAGTTGAATTTTCTCCTGGCAAAAATCTCTTGGCCATCTTCATTGTCTCATCTTGAAAAATCTTGATACACACCGGGCTTTCGCATCTGAAACTTGAGAGATTTTTTTCTGCTGTCTGAATGACATGAGCTGAATTCGCGGGCGTTATTCAATAATTTGAAGACAAACATTTCTCCGTTGAAAAATTATCCAGATAAATGCGAGGTAAACGGTGTCGCGATAAAATCACCAGGGGCTGAAGACAATCGTAACCTCTTACTCAGTGGTAGACACATCACGAATTGTGAGGTTGTAACAGGCTACTTTATTTGTATGTACACGTGTGGATGAGAGTTGAACTGTGAATCGGCTACACCAATACAGAGATATTTGGCTTATTTCAAACACGACCACGGTCACTCCTCTTCAGGGGTACATCCTATTGGGGATATAGGTGGCTTTTATAGCGTGAATGTTTTGCCTCCGAGGCGAACATTAATACCGTGTCGGCCCCCCCGTTGAGACGACCACTAAAACCCGGTGGACACCCGCCGATCTTATCTACGTCTTCTCCTCGGTCCTTGTCCACTCCGGTATGCATTCATCCCGCCTTGCCCTTCACTACTCCCATCAACCCCTCTGAGTAATGCATTTATTTATCAAGGTGTCTTTTGTTAATGAATTGAACGCGACGAGATACAGGTCCACGCTTTAAATCTCAAATTATCCGCAATCTCTTCACTTTTTTATTTATTCATTTATTCATTTTTCGAACCGGAATTTCTGTAATCAATGTGTCATCGATCCTCCGCCCACAACACTATCATGAAATATCAGTTCCAGCTCCTGAGAATATCTTTCAATTACTGATATTTTTTTCACGGAAAAGAAGAAAAATTAGTATTTATTAAAATTAAGAAAATTTATGAATTGTTAATGCGTCAGTTCTCGTGTGGATATTTGGCAGACGGAGGAAGAGTTTTGATGTTGAATTTGGAATTATTCTTTCTGTGTGTATTGATGAAACAACTGATGAGGTAAAAAATCGTGTGAGATTAATTATTCGAGAGACAATTGTATCACGGATGCTGTCTCCTAGATATCCTCAAGATGATCCTATGAGATTGGAGGAAGATTGCGGAGGTAAGCGAGGGTAAAAGGAGACATGGGGCGTCCCGACGCCGATCTAATTACTGACGCCCGAGTGAGCGAACACTAGGGTGGGATAGAGTTTTCTGTTGGGTCCTCGGGGGTTATTCCAGCTGTGAGGGTGGATGTGCGTCGCAACGCGCAATTAGACGCTTGGGACACCAAAACTGATTTAACAAACGGCTTTTTATCACCTAACAGCAAAAAGATTTACATTGAATGTGCACATAAAACCGAGAAAAATCATTCACCTCCGACAAAATGAAAAAGTTTGCAAAACATTCAAACGATTCGTGATAAAAAACAATTCTTACTTTATTCAATATTTATCACTGAATATTTATAGTTACATCTATAATTTCTGGAAATTATAAACAATTATTTATAGAAATGGAAACAATGATTAAGGGATTGTTGGTAATTTAGTCGCTTTCTCATAATAATTAATCACATGGAGGCGTTAAATCGGAGACATTGATAAAGCCAAAGGGCACCCCATAACCCTTCCCCTCACGGAAGATTGACGACTGGACCGATTGACCCCGAAAAATTGCTTTAGGACGACGCAATCCCTAGACAACTTAGTCAAACCCCTAGTGTCCCTACAACCCATTTAATCAACTCACCGTCCAGTTTTCGTGATGATCATCTCGGTACCGAGTTCATTAAACTTATCCCATAGGTCCTTCGTCTCGAGGTGACAAACCACGTGCCTGAGCTCCTCGCAATTGGAGTGCTCCTGGAGCTGGGGATTTGTCGTTGGTGAAGGTGCTTTGCCACTGGTACTACCAGTGTCATCAGTCTCAACATCATCATCAATGTCTACGGAATCCTGAGAAGCCGACGGCACTCTCGTCACACCAGAGCCACTTGCCTCCCTCTCTAAAAACAAAACCATAAACAATTTTTTTTAAACAGACATTAAGTCATTTAATATTGACTATCACATTTTTCGTCGCCGAATTATGAAAATTTTCATTGGGCCGCTGCTCCACAACATATCCTGACACTTCAGGACATTTTCCCTTTGAAAATTCAGCAGTCAGTGGCAAAATCAGGGAATTGCAACTTTTACTTAACATTCGAATGTTATTTAACAGAAGAATTATTCGTATTAGTCTAGAAATTGAAATTAATTGAGAAATTTAATGACAATTGAAATTTTGTTTTTTGAGTAAATTAAATTATTCTTAGTAATGCTTTCCGCTATTGTCAGTTGCCATCATAAAGTTTGCTCTTACAAAAAAAGAAGTCAATAATCATAATTCAAAGGAAATAATGATATTTTAACCGTAATTAATCAAGAAAAAAATTTAAAAGACCTCATCCAGTCAATCAACTCAATTAAGCTCTCAGCATCCAATAAAACTATTAAGCCGTTTGAAAAATGGTCCTGCTAGATGAAAAAGTGCAGCCCCAAGACCTTGAACTTGTTCCTCCCCCGAAACCTAACGAGCACATTTTCAACATTTTCCGGGCGCTAAAGCGAACCCCTGCGATAATGAAAAAGAAATGTGAGGAATGGGCATAAATTATTAAAAAAAAAAAAAAATTCCACCGAAAAACGAAACTCTGTCATCCTCAACCCACATGCCGTTATTTTTTTCTCATCAACTCTTTCGACAGTGTCAAAAATAGTCGAGGGGTACGACACACACGCGCGGCTGTCCCGTGTCGTGTGTCACGCGTCTCACCGAGTAAACACACACGACGTGGAGATCTCATTCATGCCTCAGTTACATATCAACGGCTCACTCCTAATTAGCGTCTCCCGGAGGGGGAAAATTTAACCAGTAGGTTTCTTCCAATCTTCATGAATTATTCGAAAAGGGGGAGTTAAAAAAATTCATTGAGCCATGAAATGAAGCGAAGGTGAGGCGAATCGAAGGCTACCGTTCGAACAGGCTTAGGCCTCGACTTCCACCTCTTCACCGGTTGTAATAATTTTTATATATATATATAGTTTTTTTTTTTCTCGCAGGTCCATACGGTGGAAGCGCCTCGAACGCAATTAGGCGCGGCGGGACTAATTGCTCGTGCGGAGAGAACGCGAGAGATGGCGAATGATAGGTTGCGGGGGAAAAATATGACCAGTAAGAGACGTAGGGAACAGTTCACCCGTAAAACGTGTAATAACACCTACGCTACAGTCGCCAGGGGAAAAAGCTCACTAATTATTCATTTACTCGGTGAGTTGGACTTTAATGCCTTCAATTACACATTAGCATGTCAAAACTGCCGCGGGAGATGCCGGCAATACGTCGAGGATGTGCAGGTTTAAAATTTATACTTCTTTACTCCACCGTTTGTCTATTAATCGATACTTATTTGGAACGTTCTTAATGATTGGTGGATGGTTTTAGGGTGGCAACAAATTGCGGTGGGAACTCTTCGCAGTTTGGCGTTCAATATTTCCGTGGTATGGAGTTGAGCTCATTAATTTCATGTTCTCAGGAATAATTGATTATTTTTAGGTTTTTTGGGGCGGGTAGTATCGAATGTGTGCATTTACCCGCGATTAATCGCGAAGGGAAATATTATTATGTGAAATGAAAATATTAGAAAAGAGGGGGTTTGATAATAACTAATTATTAATTATTGGAGGTGAAAGAGATAATTGTCATAATGGTGTCTTATTTATCAGCGTTACTAAACACGTGCTTGAGCATTTTATCCAAATGTTTCCGCTGATATTAACTGGAAAGTGATTTCAGTGTTTCGAATCAAGTTGCGTTCATAGGTTTTTAATTCACTCAGGATTTTCCCTCGGGCTGAATCGATTAGGTCTCGCAAGGGATATATTCATAACTGTTTACATGAGTTGTAGCTCCGTGATTTGTTGGAATTATTGTCGTGGGATTAACACTGGTGAGCACGAAATCCAGCGATTCATTTTTCAAGGAGTCACCAGTTGGAAGTACTTACATGACGGCCCGTCACCGCACGCCCGGAAATTCAATGGTCACGTGTAATTTCTCAAACCGCCCCCTTTTCATACCAGATTCTTGCATTATTCTAAATATGGCGGTGAATTTTTACAGCAGAATTTCGATCAAAGAATGACAATTAAACCAATGAAAATTGTCACAATTTTTTTCATTGAAATTGAAATATTATTTTTATTCCAGCTGACATGGCGTACAAATTCGTAAGAACTGGTGTCGTTGGATGAAGAATTATAATTAGAATTTTAATTGAGTGAAGTTAATGCTGAGACACATAAATCCACAATGAATCGTGCATTTGTTGACATTTGAGGAATTCCAATTATTGAAATAAAACATGGCGCTTTCAGTTCACTGAACTGCACCACAGACCGATGCATTACGAATGAAATTGGTGAATTTATTCATTAAATTCTTTACCCGCTCGTTCATTGAAGTTCGAGATGGCGAAACCTCGAAATAATGGGGTAAAAAATAGTCATCCAAATTGGAGCAGCCGTCGCCCGAGAAGTATCTCTTAATTGGCGCGAAAAGTTTGTAATTTTATTATACTCCTTGGAGGCTCTCGTCGCGGGTGGTACGCGTGGTGGTCTGAGTTATACATCCGAATGTATTTTTATTCGACAACGTCAACGCCGGTGTTAAACGACTGACGAAAAGGACGACGACGTACAAAGTCGAGTGGGAAAGACCGAATCGAGAGGGCCAAGAAATGAAATCGCACGAAATACATATGTGGTTGAGTAATTTACGAGGAAACGTGACGAGGTATTGCATCGAGAGAGAATCCTCAGTACTCTTTGAATGTTTTGGATGCATTTCAGAGCTGTCTAGGGTATAATATGAATTGTGAGTGATGTTTCGAAAGAATTGCCAGACGGGCAGAATCATTGTGACGAGATGTTCGATTCGATTGATTACACTGTGGGAAAATTTAGCTGTTCAAATTTCAAATAAAAAAATTAAAATTTTCAACAATTCTTTATTGACTAAATTAACCCTATTTACATATTAAATTGATTTAATTCCCTAAATATCCTGGTGATTCACGATTTTTATGTTGATATGACACACAAATTTTGAAAATTTAGGCAATAATTTTTCTGAACTTTCGATTTATAGGTAATTTAAACTTTCATTGAGAAATGAATTATCAATTTACCATCAAAAATCCAATATTCTGGAATTCAATGGATTAATGAGAAATTTTGTGAGGATTTTTAATTGTAATTAAATTCAGACACACATAATTGAAAATTCAAATGGGTTTATGAAAGAAATTTTAACCAATGCATTACAATAAAAAATTGATGCTTTCATTTCCTCTAATTTCCCCAAAAAAACCCATTCTGTCACTCAAAACTCTCACGCAAAAAAAAAAAAAAAACTTATAACAAAATTTACGCTGACATGTTAAAAAACACGATGAGTTCGATAAAAATAACAATTTCTACAACAGCATCGTAAATAGAATCACCAATTTTTCCAGGTGCACTCTACCAAAAATTGCAGGAAATTTTGATTTTTTAATATAGTGTACGGAATTGAGTGATTCTCTACCTCACAAAGTGCGGAAGAAATCGACCACTGAAAGCAAACCCAACAATTTGAAAATGCAATTCCGGCAAGAAGCATACTTCGATCGGCCAGTGTTTGCACCATTAAACCCGCAATAGAAATGCCTAGAGATCCTGAGTGTTTGCGTGTCTGAATGAAGAACGTGGGTATATCCGCGGAAAGGTGGGTTATCGAGCCTAAATTACAGACAAGAGCGAAACAAGGATAATGGCTATCCGATCCACGTGGCAAGTCCAGTAGAGTTTTCTACAATTTACCCTCCAACCATTATCCATTCTACATCCAAAGCAAATGCCAGGAGGAGCATCCAGCCGTTATCCCCAGTAACTGGACTCAGTGCAAAACCAATCTCCAGATTTGTACCGTGACTTCAAAGAAATCCTCATTTCCCCGCAATTTGACGTCTTCAAGTTCAACATTTAGCTTCAACCCTCACTCCCCTCTCTGATATTTCGCCTGTCTCATCATCATTAATCTGAAAATCACTCAGAACCACTCAAAGACCCGTCGTACAACAAAATAGTCAGCATCACGTTCCCAGGGTCTACTTTTACCAACAAAAATACCATTTTAACATCTCTTGAATTTTTTACCTCCGACTAAATCTCTACTTCTCAAATCTCTGATGACTCCCGACTCGCCCATTCACCACTAGATGGTGCATTTGTCCACGTGTCAAAATTCGCAGTAACTCTACGGATTCGGAAAAGTTAGAACCAAAACCAAGACGACTTGTCGTAATAAAACATATAACGGTCAGTGGTACTTCCCCGTCTTTGTGCCCAAGTCTTTGTTTACTTGCAATTATCGCCGTGAGAGTCACTCGCAGGCCTTTGGCACACGCGTCATTTAAAAATCATTATTACCCGGCAAATGCAAAGAGAAAAAACGGCACTGCGGCATTACCATGAAAATTATGTAAAAATGACGCCTGGGAATGTAACGCGGATGTATATCATGTCATACGGAGATTAATTCATCGTTAATATTACCCAGACGATGCCATTAGACTTGAAATGTTTTTTTTCTCTTTCTGTCGTCTCCGGAGATCTACGGTCATTTAAAGAAATGGCTCCTGAATTAAAAAAAAATCTACTCTCATCTGTTCAGCGAAATTTTTGCAAACTCAATATAAACATGAATTTAGAAAAATATTTTGGTTGAGATTTTAAATGACAGTTAATAAATTGTCACTCCAATTTTTCAGTGGAAGTCGTAGATTTTGAAATGGAGGATCGCCGTTTCTACAGGATGATAATTTTTGAGCCTGTAAAAATTGAAAACATACCATGCTGATGTAGTTTACCGCCGCCGACGGCCTGCTGCAGGTGCCTGTGATGCTGCTGGGGCTCATGCTGATTCTGCTGTAACTGCTGCTGCTGCTGACGAGAATCCCTCGCCATTATAGCAGCTATACTAAAATCCGTGGCGCACGCCCTATTCGAATTGCAGTTATTATTGTTTAAATTATTAAGCAGACTATTATTGGGGGATGGACTGGAGCTCTCATCTCCGTCGTCTCTTCCACAGCCGGATATACCAGTCCCCACAGTAACACCAGACGATTCTGTATCCACACCGCATCTCGGCATTTTATCATCCAAATATCCACGTGACGTTTCCTCGTCGTCTTCCTCACTGCCGGCTCCTCCGCCGCCGACAATTCCACCACCTCCACCCCCGTATGTCGTCAGGGTCAGACCGTTTCTCTTCCTTCCAGTGATACCTCGCGACTCCAGCAACATCACCTATACCCACGACCTCAAATCTTCCACACTCGTTTTTATATTAACAATCCCCTCTTTTCCTCAAATCGAATATCTCACAATCACCGATAACCGAATCACTCGACAAAACTCTCCGTCAATATTCCCACCATATATTCCACTAAGTCGCTCATCCTAATTCTCCAAAATCATCAGTATTTCACCATTGAAAAAAAATCAGGCCCAAAAAATTCCAAAGCAGCTGGTGACAAAAAAAGCGAAACCATCAAAAACCATCCGTGAAAAAAAAAATGGTGGCAGTGACGTTGAGGGGCAAATCCAAATCGCGCTCTCCACTTCCACAAAATCCTCAAATGGAAAATCCACCAGATAACAGCGAAAAGTACCTAACGAAAAACGTTAAGCCGGTAACGCGCGGACAGACGATCGACGCGGGTTATTCGAACCGAGTAACAGACGCAGTTGCCTGACAGACTGACCTGCGCCCCGCGACGGCATGGCTCGCGCTCTTGGACGCCCTCCGTTATTTCTCAACCCTCCCATTCCTCTCCCCCTCTGCCCCACCCCTTTCGCCAATCTGTTACCCACTTTTTTCCCCACCCTAACTCTCACTCAATATATACCTCTCCCTCTCTCCCTCTGGTACAAAAGACACACACCATTCACCGCGTAACTGCCTTCAACTGTGGATGTGAGAGTATTGATACGACTTCCCAACCAAGGGGGAGTGGCACACAGGGGATAGCCAGTCTCTCAGCTCCGCCTCTACCATCAGCACTCGGTATTTAGGCCCCACCCACTCAACACTATTGCGATACAGGGGGGTTTATAAAGGGAATAGAGTCAACCTCTCTCTTCAGCACCCGCCATTTACCCCCCTTGCCCATCCCCTGATCAACCGTCCTTCTCCACAACTTCCTCCACCTCATCTACCTCATCCACCTCATCCACCTCCTCCACCCCCTCAGCCATATCACCACCACTACTGTGGCCATCAACTGGCAAGGGCCCCCGGGTTTTCGCGCAAAGCACAGCGTGTACGTGCGAACGTTCACGGATGGTGACCCTCGTCTCACTTTTCCACATCGCCGGCTTCTCATACATCCCCATCCTCTACCCCTCTCTCTCATTCGCTTATTGAGCTTTTCTCAAGCTTTATACTTTATACTTTAGCGAAACCTCCACCATCCCTCCCCTCGACTTGCCTCTGACACTTCCACTGATGCACTGGAGAGTATTATGGTCTCGTACACACCATCCCCCAGGTATACACCAGCTGCCACTGGAGGGTGGGTGGGAGGAAGATGTCGGGGTGCGCAATTGCTGACAGAATACTCTCTTTCGCGAGGGGGTGGCTGCGGAGTGAGTGAGTAGCAATTTATTGTTTTAGGGTCGTGGAGTTTAAAAGACTGCGGGAGGAAAGGGGAGAGGTGGAGGGGTGGGTGGAAAGGTATGGCGGTGGTTATTGTGGAAATTCGTGGAGATTCGAGTTTTTGCGGGGAGAAATAATATTATTGGGTAATTATGGAAAATAGAAAATTCTCGGGAACAGAAGAATTAAAGTTTAGGGATACATGAACTTTTTGTTGGAATTTCATGGAAATGTGAGTTTGGTCCTGGGGGGTTAATTCTTTCCTGATCAGATTCGTAAAGATTTTTGAAAAAATTTCTTGGCATTTGTGTAAACTGAAAAATTGAAACCGAACACATCTCAACGAAAAAACAAAGTCCTCTGAATTTTTAATGCTCAGATTCTCTTCTAAATATTTTCCCTGAAAATTTTATTCCCCCAGAATAATGAAGCATGACGCAACACACTTTAATAACGGGCCAAAAAATGATAGAAAATTTTCGACGAACGGAAAAATGCTAGAAACGGAAAACAAAAAAATTCAGTGACAATAACCTATAATTAACGAATGGGAAACGGTTTATGAAAGGCCACTATGCGGCAAAGTTTGAAAGGAAAAGGCGAAATGATCCGAAACTAATGCGAAGTATATACCGAGCAGAAGTTGGCAAATCGGTAGCCAGATACCTGTGGACGCGCTGCTGAGTATCGCTAATCGTTGGTAATTACTCTCTGAGTGTTGTTGTACGAATGTATCAGTGGTAACGAATGTAAAGAAAAAAGTGTAAAAATAAGTGTTATTAATTTTCTTCTACGAAGCTTACCAGCACGCCTACATCATTCGTATCTTGTCTCTGTCGCTAAAAGCCAACAACTCTATTCCTCTATTTTCTTTTTCAAGTAGAAGGAAAGAGGAAGGCCTTTCCGCTGTGTACACACTCCAAGCATAAAGATGTAATACTAAAATCTCAATGGTGCTTGTTTACGTTGTGCCCCGTTGCAACCCTTTGAAGTGCTCTTTTTCAAAAAGTCTCTCGCAGATTTGCCAAACGTTAACGACACGGACATTTCGATCGTTACATTCAAGTAATACCTGATGATTCTGGTATGTTAATAATACCGGGGTTGTGACTTAAATTGTCGGTTTCCAGTGAAAAATGGAATAACAATCGGCGCTGTAAAAAACACGATCTGGCGGAACAGCTAAACGACCGGAAATGTTGGATATGTGACCAGACGTTCTTTTCTTTCAAACAAATCTTCCCACTTTAATGTCAATTCATACAAGAAAAGAACAAATTACCATATAATCACACTCTCAGAAAAACAAAATTTAATGGACTGTTAATTATTGACTGCACGGAGAGAAAAATCTATTAATTTTTATATTGTGATTCCGATAAAAATTACTGTGCTGCCTTACAATCTAGGTGTAAACTGCAGGCCTGAGAAAAATTACTATGCCATGCAGTAACATTTCTTCGTCGGCCGAGCAAAACTTCGTTATCGGCCAAATAAAAATTCATAGTCGTCGCAACAGTTACCATTGTTAAATTCAACTTCGGCAAGAATCGGAAACATTCGACGTTCATCGCTAACCAATCATATTGGGTTAAAAAATGTTTGGAGAAAATGCTGTGTAGCACAGTAAAAATTAAAAGAGAGCACAATAAAAAATACCGATCTGGATAGGAATTTTTGAAGGATTTCTATCAATTTTTCTTTCAAACTCAAACAAAAAATGATAGACCTTCAAATTTTATAGTGCTGTTTAGTAAATTTTATGGAGCCACACATGATTAATTACGGAATGTATAAGAAAATTTGACATATTGATGGTAATTTTTATTTGTGAATGAAAGAAGTTCTAGTATTCTAGCATTTTGCACCACGATTGTAGTACTCGGCACAGTAATTTTTCTTGGCCTTTTCTCTCCGTGTGAGAACTGAGAAATTATTTCAAGTAAATAAATAAATTTTATCTTCTCTTCTCTCCTATAATTATTCGTCAAATATCTCTCAACTCCTCCCCTAAAATTATCAACATCCAAAAGCCGACGATATTTATTCATAAGAAAACAACATTCTCTCGGACAAATTAAGGGTATCGTTCCTCTGGGTGCATTTTCCCCAAAAATTCTCATTCAACGATAAGAAATCACATCGCGATAACACGTGTTAACGCAAACGTATGATAATGAGAAAAGTTGACATTATATAATCATCCTGACTATGCGAGAGGGATAAAAATCAGTGGCCCTCCGGGCACCAGCTCTTTTGTGTATTGATCCCAGGGGTAGATTTCTCAAACATCAAATGCACCTTTATCCACAAGACTCCCCTCTCGTTAATCTAAAAAACCATCGACAATTCGAGGAATGGATTTAAGTATCTCCGAGTGTTGAGTAAGAATGAGTTGAGAAACTGAATTATTCGGACAATGAAATGTCACACGGATTATACAACACACCAAGTGGCTCATTTAACAGGTAGGAGCTACTTCTGTATATCGGATATTGTAATATATATTTCATTTGCTACCTTGTGGGTTAGGATGGAGAAAAAATAGAGGTACGAGTCAAAACTCTAATCTTCTTAAGGCTTGACGCTGATCCGGACAAATCGCTGCGACGTTACGCGGCACTTACCTTTGGAACTTTGGGCTTTCGATACGTAGAAGTGAATAGATGAAGAAGAATAAAAGCATCAGGGAGTGAAGTGGTCGAGATTTCGATGGATGCGATTGATAAAATTGAAAGGAGGATCGTATCGCGTGAGAAGTGCTGAAGATACTTCCCATTTGTTGTCCACCATGACTTCTGAAATGTCCAGACTTTATCCATTTTTTCTTCTTGCCATTACTATTTCAGTGACCTACACAATTGTTGAGGGTTAATACAATTGACTGCATCATGCCTAGAAAATATAACCGATTTTTCATTTCTCCTACTCATACTGTCCTCTCAAAAATTTATTTAAAATATTCAATAAAAATTGCGGAACTCAAGTGCGCTTACCAATTATGGAAGTAACTATAGTTTCTTATAGGATAATTTACGTGGCGGCAAAAAAATTCGTATGAGTTACGTAAAATTTTCCTCAATCATTTTTCACTTCGGATGTACAGACAAACTACGTAATTATGATTGAATATTTCTTTCTGCGTATTCGCAGAAGATTGAGGTAATATATTGGTTGTAATTGAACAATTATAGATATTGTGAATACGAAAGAAAAAATTAAGACTGACAGTCTACAAAAAAAAATCCGTAAGCACTGAAAATAAATCTGAACATAAAACAAATCTGCTTGCATCCAACAGATGGTATTATCCCCTATCGCGTGACAAATATTGGACCTTTCCCGACGTTTATCTCCTCAATGAACCCTGAAATAATCAACAAAGTAGATAATTCCAGCCCAACGGCATATCATTGTTAAATAAAAGCTGATAGATTGAAAACGACACTGACTTCCTCCGAACTCCATTCAAAGGGCTATTAGCAAGGAGCTCCTTTGCGATATATCTATCGTGCCCTGAGATATCACGCGAAAAACCAATTTCTCCCAAATTGATGAAACGATGGAGCTGATCAAAACACCTCATCTCAACATTAGAATTACAATATCATAACAATAGGGTAGTAACCTTCTTCATCATATTTGACAGGCGGTGTGAGATAGTTACAGAGTCGGCAACTTCAAGAGTTGCCGAAGCTTAGCGATACTTAGGACGATTGCACCTCGAGGGGTTGATTTTCGTATCACAAAATTGAGGAGATGCCTTTGGGAATGGACACGCGTGCCAACAGTCTCGTTCTGACGATTCAGCTACTCCGTCGAATGGTTGAAAAATATTTTATCCATCGTGGACGAGTTAAACGAGCTCGCGTGACATCCACACACCAATAAGCTGCAACCAGTCCAAACATAATACGAAAAAAGCTCTTTGACGGTAGCCGCTGGCAGGCGGTAATAAAGCAGAAGCGGACATCAGACGGTTCTTTTTTTTTTTAGCTTCTTTTGAGGGATAAAGATGGATAATGCGACAGTTGTCTCGGTGACTGATTCGTGATGGGCACACTTCCAGGATTCCCCAGATGGCGGGGA